TGGGAACTCTTACTCACTACCCATTAGTGATTCGTTGGGTTTTGGAAAGTTAGGTTTTTTGCAAAATAAAGTGATATTCTTCTGATTACACGATTTTTTTCATGCCTGTTGGTTTGACTTACCAGTTTTTTTCATGATGGATTGGTTTCTTTGTGGAAAAATTTACTGTGGTGTCTCATTTTTTGCAGTTTTTTAACTCATAAACTCATTTTTGTAAAAAATCTCAAATTTCATCTCTCAAAACATTATAGAGTGCCTCTAGTTGCAGTTGCAGAAAAAATTTAAACTTAAACCGCATTCGGTTGTGTGTGGTTTTCGTCGAAGCCTCCATTTTGATAGGTCAATCGAGAAATTTAACATATTTCTGAAATTGACCCTTTGGCTTCCTTTAAAATCATTTAGAGGGGAGAAACCTTGATGATTTTTAAATTAGTAAAGTTTTTATTGTAATTATAATCAATTTGCTTATTGTTTAAAAGAAGATACTGGAAGACTTGTGTTTTAGGTTAATTATCGGTGCGAATGAAATATGGGTCGGAGACTGTGCCATCAGTATGCACAAGTTTGATGGTCACCGGTACATGTCTGGTTGTCTAGTGCTATTTTTACATCTCATTTGGAAGCTCCATAGCTTAATGCATGATTCTCAAAGGTCTGATACTGTTCACCGCTCATCTCGACGAGTTCTGTTTATCCATCTTTTTATTTCAGTTATATTTTCATTTCAACTTCGATTCACATTTTCTGTTTATTTTGCTGGTATATTCAGGAAATCTAAACATCAAAGAATATATACTGATATTTTCCACATTTTCGATTTTTCATCTTTTTATTTCCGTAATTCACAAGCAGTTTCCACTAAATATGGCACATATTGAATTTTAATGGAATGAAATCGATATCTTTATTAGGTTGATTTTAATTTATCCCAACTTACATCGGTGTACTTCGACGTGATATTTGGAAAAGTGGTATTGAAACCTGGAATAAGTATAAACTGTGCAACTAAAACTTGGTTTGGGTGCAGTGTGCTGTTGTGTCTTCTCTTTATCACGAACTAGTACTCAGGAATGAAGTTTGGGTGGAGCAAAAGTTGTGGGGGGTGCTCGACAATAGCATTTTCAAATAAAATAAAAGAATTTTATTTCTGTTTCTTTCTCTTCTACTCGAAGCGTCTCATCGATTGAATTTTTATTTTAAAGTCATGTGAATGTCGAGTGCACTTCTAATTTCATCTGAAAGATTTGCTTCTCTTTGATAGAAGCGCATAATGGAAGACTCAATATTTTACATGCAGCAATCTATTCTCATGCATACTCTTCACAACATAGACTTTGGTGGGGGGGATATTTTTATTGTTATCACTGCATACTGTGCATGAAATTGGTTTGAAATCTAGTATCGGCTATATTTTTGTGTATAAATTTACATTTTAAACAATTATTTGAATAATTTATGGTCAGGTCAACTTCTAGCGTCCTGCTTTCGTGTCCCTCGGGGGGTAAAAGTGAATCGTCATTTTCGTCCGCCCTAATGAATCTACCGCGAATAAAGTCAGGTCATTGTGGACGCTAATTTGTTCAGTAGTCCAGGGTAGGGATTTGGCAACTTGGGTCGCGATTGGATAAATATTTTTTTCAAATGGCAGGCTTTGTGATATTTATCATTAGCCCTTAAACTTTGACTTCAGCTTCCCTCAAGGGTGGGGGGTACATTTATAGCAGTTAATTAATAGCAGCGTATAGCAGTTAATTAATAGCAGTTCATTAGCCGTCTTCTTGTATGGTGCATATCCATAGTCTTATGTTTTATGTGTTTTTTTGAATAATCGATTCTCAATACGTATTCGATCCTCTCCATTTTTTTCGCTCTGTCTAATCATTTAATTCAAATTGGTGTTTTTTTGCAATGGTTCAATAGCTAATGATGTTTGTTTGCTGAAAATGTATCGGTCTCGTGTGTATTGTTATTTTATACCTTATCTCAACTATGAAGTTCTCATTACTGACTTCTAACTGGTGAGGTAATTATCTTCTTGTTTACGTTCATGTTGATCGACATTTTCACTTTGCTTCTGCTTTTAAAGCTAGAAATCTATGATTTGTTGTAGGAAAATTATGCCATTTTTTGTTAACCAAATGATAAACAGGTTGGCGAAAATGTTGGTTGCATCATTTTATACCATTAGAGAACTACTGGGATTTGTTGTAATTAGATGGGTTGCAAACATCGACTTGTTAATGCTCTACACCGATTAGAAAGCTGAGCATTCGTTTGAGCGCTAGAGGAATTAGAATAATATTGTAGTGGCCAACGTGTTTGTTGGCAAATTTCTTCCATGTCCTTCGATGAGCGCAAACTACATAGCGCCAGCGCTTTTTGGTTGAGGATGACAGAATTTGAGTCCCTCGCCAGTAAAGGGTCCCTCCTAAATGGGCGTCGGAACTAAAGCTAGAATGGTTTCAGTCCGATGTCGACGCTCATATTGTTGTCTTTGCCATATCCTAGTCATGCCAGTTTAAAGACAGTATCCGATTGTCACTAGTAAAAATTTGTCATTTGCAAGCTCGGTTTCCTTGAAATAGCAGTGTAAACTCCCTTTTGGGAAAAATATTTAGTGAACAGTATTATTCTATGCTAATATACCCTGTCTCGCTTGTACAAACGAATTATAGTTTGATAAACGTTAGGTTTCTGCTGAAGTCACCTTCCTTAATGAAACATTTGCTTACCTTATTCCATTCTCTTTCAGACAGCGTAATCGACAGTTGTCCAGATGGAGGCTGGGGCTGGATCGTCGTATTCGCCTCCTTTGTTTGTATGATCCTTGTGGAAGGCATTTGTCTCTCCTACGGCCTTCTAGTTGCTCCCATCTGCCCTGGAAACAGTCTTCGTGCAGTGGGTCCATCTACTCGCTTCGCATCTCAATCACCATCCGGTGTGGCAACTGCTACCTCTCTGGGAATTGTATGGTCAACTAAAGCGAGGTTAGTACCCATCCGGCCGGGGTCTTGTGTCGGGGTCTCTGAGATGGGTGAGTTGCTAAAGACACAGTCGAGAATGGCTCTCATGGCTCCCGGTGGAATGCTAATGGGCTTGTATATTCTTCTTGGTAAGTATTATTTCTCTCTAACCTAAAATGAAATAATCGATTGAATGTATTATCAAAGGCAAGACCTGACCTATTATTGAGTCTTAGTTTAGGCTGACTATATTTTCTTTCTTGGTTATAGATTCACATTTGATTATATCATTCACAAATCCACTAGTGGTATGGCCAGTACTTTTCTAACCTCCACAAGTGTGAAAGATTTGTACCATTCCAGTCGTAGAACTTTTTTGTGAATGTTTATATATTTTGTGTCGATGTTGAATTGTAATTCTATGGCTTACCCAAATTACGTGTGCCTCATATAACTAACGTGATTCGTATATTCCAATCGTGAATTACTGTTTACTTAGGCTTTGAATCTGCATTTGCACTTAGTTACTTTTTATTCTAACAAATAATATGCTGAAGTTCTGTTTATTCATTCTTCTTTGTGTTATTGTTTAGTCGGTCTCATTATATATGCAATCAGCTGTCAACACCGCTGTTGCCTGGTATTTTCTGAACTGGTCGCAAAGCGCATAAGATGCAAGTTAGGTTTGAGATGAATGTGCTAAGACGACCGTGCTTACTGATCAATACGGAAAGAACGCATATTTACTGTAGTTTCTTCGTACGCCAACGGTTCATTCTCCTAGAGATGACCGGTTACTGTCTGTTGCCGATAAAATTGATTTGATTTCTCTGAGTTAAGCTCTTGACCAAGTTGGCGAATGTCGAACGTTGTATAACATTAAGTACGAGCATAAATTTGTCCCTGGGATATGCCTTCTTTTCGGTGTATCGGTTAACCTGTTAGTGACTGTAAGTATAGCGCAAGTTCACGTGCTGTACTAGTATGTATATATCAGCGTCTAGAAAAAGAGGTTTACTCCTCCAACTAAGTGCATAATATGTACTTTTCAAAATTTAGTTCTTTTCTTTTTCCCTTATCACCTGGCTCAAATATTCCTCTTCTGCATGTTCGATGTCAATACTTGTCATGCCGATTTTTCTCTTTATTCTCAGCTATTTTTGTTTGTTGAGAACCATTTCATTCTTTCGTTTTGTGAAAACTAAGATTCTCTTGGCGAGATACAGTAGACCATGCTTCCTTCTGTCAAGTCAGTAGTCAAGAGGCATATTCTTGCTTTCATAGCAGAAGGGGACGTCTAAACACTTCTTTTCCCCATCAACTATGCCTAACCACGGAACTTACAGTCCGTTTTTTATATTTCAAATGACAGGCGTTTTGATAGTTATCATTGGCCCTTTACCTGACTTCGGGTTTCACAAAGAGAAGGAACGTCAAAATGACAAAAAGTGGAGAGGGGCGGGTGAACGGAAGAGTGTTTCAAAGATGTAAAAGAGACAGACACAAAGGTGGAAGAAGAGTGTTTCAAAGATGTAAAAGAGACAGACACAAAGTAAAAAATGGTGAGGTGAGTACAGTGTAAGTAGTCAAATATGACATACAGTGGGATGATGGTAGTTTAAAGTGAGAAGTCAACTGCCTACAGTGGGATGATGGTAGTTTAAAGTGAGAAGTCAACTGCCGGTTTATAGACTTTTTTTGCCGTATGAGTATACGTTGCCCAGTATGCACCACGTGGAGGTAAGTCTATCGCACACCCCACAGTCCGTTTTTTATAAGTTTTCGTGAAAACTTTCCTGTTGAAATCAGTTCAGTGTTAATAGGAAACATTAATTTCCCATTGAAATGTCTCCCCACCCCCTCCCCCTCCGATATTTTATTTCACACAGCTTTTCGACATTTTTTCCAGGTCCCCTGGCAAGCGCACTGAGCAATCAATTCGATTTTCGGCCAGTTGCTATGGCGGGTGGCATTATAGCAACCATCGGTCTCTTTGCTTCCGCCTTCTCAACAAATATCATCGTTTTTTGCATCACACTTGGTGGTATTGGAGGTATGTGTTAACACTTTTTTGTGGCTTTTATTCCGTTTACTAATATTGGAATTTATCCTTCAATTTAATCTGGGTTCAAGATAATAATACATAAATTTATTTGAGTATAACGTTTTACATCACACATCGTTTGATGTGTCTTGATCAAATTCCACTTTCTACTGTTCCTTACTTAATTGGATTTAAGTTGGGCGGTTGGGAATTTCCATCACATGAATCATACTCTAATTGGCGTTGAGCTTGAAACCTCTGACCTAACGGTCGTGCGTGTTGGTCACTACTCTTCTAAAACACTGACTTATTCCAAGCTATCAAAATCACCAGTCCCTTGGCAATGTTTCTTTTTAATAGATTCGGAGAGTTTACATCTTGAAACACCTACTTTCCAACGCTATCCCTCGGGTTAAGAAATGGATTTCAATAGTCCACTCTGTTTCGACAGAATTACATCTCATTTTTTATTCGCAAAAATTATCACAGATGAAATTAGTGTGCTATCTCAAATAGCATTTTAATTAAATATCCTACCTTAGGCACTATTAAAAATCCTATCGATCTGTTAATGGCTTATAGTATTTGTTTTTCATTTATTTTTAAATAAATTGTCGTAACATTTTATTATATGGGAATCCAGGCCCACTTGTTTTGGTTACATATTACATCTTAACTAGATCTCTCAATCCATCGTCTTTATTGTAATTATTGGTCAAAATTTTTAACAAAAGTCAAGCCTTCCGTTTGTAGACATTTGGATGCTGAAAGCTGACTTTTGTGACGCTCGGCTGCCTCTATGAAGCCGAAGCTACTTGAACTCCTAGAAGAAGGAGGTGGAAGTCTTTTAGCTCAAGCATTCTGATTAATCGAATCAAGATCTATTGTCAATGATTTGCTGGATTACAGTTTTCATCTTTGCTACATGTCTGTTGAATTTTGTTGAAATTCATATTGACACCGTATATATATTGCTTTGTTAAGTGACAAAATCACCAGGCTTCACGATTTTGATCGATCCTGTAGAAATGGTTCTTCGAGTGCTATTTTCAATCTCATAACCTCAAATTTACTATCGATGACAAATACGATTTGGAAATATTCAAGTCTAGCCTTTAATTTCTTTTCCGCTTTTTCCTTGTATTTTCAAATTGGTCTTTTGTGGCCGTTTCTTCTATTTGTGTTCATTTGTCGAACATTTCATCACGTTTCGATTCTGGTTTTAAGTAGATTAAGCCAATTCCATTTATCTGCAATGAATTCTACTACCCTCAGCACATTACAAAAGAGTAACTGAATAAATTGTAATCTAATGTCATTGTGTACAAAGGGTTGGTCTGGTTGGAAGAAGAGTAGAAAGTTGTGGAAGGAGAAGATTCGTAATTCTTTTGAAATCTAGGTTAGTCTGTTGTGTGTGTGTGTATTTGTTCTTAAGTGGCTGAATTCGTCGGAGATGATTTGAGTTATTTGGCTTACCAGATTTCTGTCCAAAATATATAGTCTGATATATTCCTATCTGGTAGACTGAATACGAATAAAAATAATGGGAGATACTCTGTGAAATGCCAGGTAATCAACTTCTCATTTTACGCAACCATCTTGTGTGCATTTGCGGTCGTTAATTTTTTGTTGTTATGACATGGAAACCATTCACATTTCTTCTGTCCAACATGGGAAACACCACAATCTGTTGTTTTGCACACGCCTTGAAGCCCGATAATTGTGCGTAGTTACGCCTTCTCTTGCAGATATACTTTGGTAAATACGAAAGTAAACATTGATTGAATACTTATTTCGTTTAAAGGAATTTCTTTCCTTCCATATATCATTAGTGCGTCGACAAGAGTAGAGGTGATGGCGGGGGGGGGGGTGTTGAAGGGAGTACTAACCGAGGAACCCAACTTGTCTATAGCTTAAAAAGCAAAATGCGCATTATTTGAATGGATTTTCCAAGGAACTGTACTATCTAAGTCGAACTTAAGGCTGTATTTTTTAGTATTGTTTGAGCTCATTCCAATTGACAATCGAGTTCAGTGTTTTTGCTTCAATTTGAGCTATTTCCACAGTTTCTGGCGAAGAATGTTGGTGTTGAACTGGTTTATTTCTCGTTAGCTCAGTTGTCATCTTTAAAAATACCATGAAGCATAGACTGTTATATTCTGGCGCAGATTTCTGATTCTCACATTCTTACCATATTCGCCTACTTTATCGCATTATGGTGCTCCTACTCGTATACTTTCTCTCTCTCTCTCTCCTTCTGTCTTGACTTTGTCTATTGTGGTCTGTAAATTCTATGCGTTGACGGTCCGCTTTTAGTCGAGTCTTATGAATTATTAGTATTTCCTAGTCTGGTGTTAATTAAATCATAAATTCCAACCAATGGGAGCCATTTGTTAAGGATGATTCAATCACTGTCATTTATTTGTTATATTTGAGCAAAAAATATGTCTTAGTTCATAGTTGTGGATTGAAACTCAATTTGCTGTGAAGGGCTATGTTATTGAATGATTTATTGTGCATTATTGATCTTGGTCTTGCATGCATTCTGTCTCCCTATCTGAAGTAACTATTTCCTCGGTATATATACTTTGCCATAGCATTGCACTCGATCACATTTTATTCACAGGACGCTTCATTCCCTTCTCTCTAGGCATTGGTTTTGGACTGATTTACTTGCCGGCAATAGCCACCGTTGGTCATTGGTTCAAACATCGTCGACCTTTTGCGGTGGGACTGGCACTCTGCGGGAGTGGAGTGGGCAGCGTAATCACCGGCCAAGTCTTTCCGCTTCTAATCAACGAATTCACCTGGAGTGGGGCTCTTGTTGTTCTTGCGGCTTTCTGTGCGCAGTGTGTTGTAAGTTGGGTGCATGCGCTACTACTATTTATTTGTAAGGTCTCAAGTTCACTGAACTTCAACTTTGTTCGTTCAATAACCCACATTAATTTGCCCTCACCTTCTCCCCAATATTTGGTAAGGATTTTTTGTTGGAAAGTTATCCTACCTACAACTTCCCCTCCTGGTTCATCGAATTGATGTAGACGTAAATTAGCAGTCTATTCATTATAGTTTCCCTCTGTGTTCCAAACATATACCAGGCTATGTTATAATTATTATTACCATCATCATTATTATGCATGACAAAGCAAAAAGTACAAACCTCAAGTATATATAGAGCATGTCTAAGCAAAGGGCGTTGCGAGAAGCACTTTAAGTGGTGGCAGAAAGTTTTGTGGTAAGTTTGGTCTCAAAACCACGCGGCAACCGGGTTCTTACGTAATTCCTTATCGTCACAACAGTGAAACTGCAGGGGAATAGACTTTCACATAATCACCTGCTTCTTGCGACATCTCGAGGGTGAAGTCCTGTCAGTTTGTGAAATTTATGTCGGTGTCTTCTCATCTTATGCATCTTGACAAAGTGTCGATTACATGGAACATCCACTGATACTATTTTTCCGTATTTTATTTAGTGATAGTTGTTTTAGTAAGCTCAAGGTAACTTTATACTTAAGATTCTGCATCGTAACCATGTGCACATACCTCGCATCTCTATTGAACTAAGTCAATTGTATTAAAGAATATATTTCGCTTGAGATATGATTTCCAATAGTACTTACTTTGATTTCTGTTCCAGAATGCATACGCCAAGTGTTTAAATGAGCTCCTTCAAGGTCGTAATTCGAGTGCTTTAGTCAAAATGTTAACTTCAAAACAGGTATGCATTTTCCAATGTAGTGCAAGGGTAAATTTCTCGCTGAGTACGGATTGATACTTCACCCCAATGAAGGAGCATCGTTAACAACTTTTCTTGAGTTTATGAGAAATTCCTAGTAGTTTGCTCTTTTATTTTAAACGATTTCCAGATGTGCCGATAGTTGCTGTTTGCATATTTCCGCTACTGTGGACATTATCTTTCGATAGTCAATGTTTACGGGTTCTACTACGGAATCCTTTCAGCTCGATTTGGTCTCAATCGTGCTCTGCGATGAAGCAGATGCACGTTCCTTTTTAATTTCCTATTCTTTTTTTCAGATTTTCCGCCTTTTTCCTCTTTTTGCTTGAACTCAATACTTTTATAGTCCAACTCTACTCCTATTGGTTTATTAAAACCGCAAGTGCTGTGAAGCAATAAGATACTTTGAATTTGCTGGAATCTCTAGGCAAACTTTTGATAGGTTGCCTTAACGTCCTTAAAATCTCGACACTCTGTCTCTCTTTTCAGGACTAAGCAATAAGTTTTAATCGATCCGGTTGTCATCCAAACTTCAGTTGATAAGGCAATTGTCCCTACTCTATAATTGCTGGAATAACTTTTTTAATGCCTTTTCTCTTATTTTCCAGTACTTGCGATGATTCACTGTCAATGACTATGATGATTCATGATTCGGACAAAGTCAATTGTCATAGAGTCAGATTTAGAAAATTTATGCAGCGCGCTAAGAGCACTAATTCATTTAAAGGAGGCGATTGTGAGCACCTCCAGTTTGAATAGTGATTTGTGTTTTGTGTAACCGGTGTAGTATTGTTGCGTTAAATTAAGCAAAAGCAGTTTCATTGCCAAATTCATCTATGTCTAATTTATTCTAATTTAAATAGCTACATTCAAAGTGGCGTAATTCAGTTCATTATTGCGGAAAGGGGGTAAAATGATGTCTATGAACAGTCCTCGATCCCTATTATTGGGGCATCTTGGATCCATTTATATCTCAGAACACAGAAGATACGAGGTGGGATATATTTGAGAGAGAACGCCAGACTTCCTACTGAAATCATCATGGAAATGAGTAAAAGTGGTTTATGAATAATACACATTCGAATAAATTGCCTTAACGCAGTTCTAATGATTGAAATTGTTTGTTCAATATATATTTTTTTGCTTAGTTCCCTTCGTTATGTCCTTAGGCATCCTTTG